CCCGCCTCTGGCAGCCCCCTGCTGTTCCCCCCTGCCCGAGGGGCAGGGGAAGAGATACGTTTACTCCCATCATTTAGGTCTGGCCATTTCCTATGGACAATAAAATCAAACAAAGGACCTAAAGAATGTCAAAATGTGTTTCAACAGCTAGAACATACTGTGTAACAATGCACCGCTGCAGGAGGGCAGCGCAGGAGACGCTGAAATCCAAGCAGGCAGAATTATATGCTTATTAGTTTTAAAACCAACCATATCAAGCCTTAAAACCAACCACATCCAGCTAAGATTTCATATTTCTACATGAAAACCTCTAGCTGACAGTCTGCACCACTGCCATCAGTTACTCAACCAAGCAACAGAGGGGTTGTCTAGCTCACAAAAAGTCTAATCAGTATGTGGACAAGGGTTTGCTAGAGAGAGCAAACAAGCCATAAATTAGTTCAAAAGGCCCATGGTTTCACAAAGTTAGCAGAGGGACAGGCTGAAGTAAGGTCACAGGTGGGGGCAGTGTCAGGGTGGGATTAATTCCCATCTCTGGAAGTGTCCTGGAGGTATGGAGTGCTCCCCAGCTTGCAGGCACTGCCCTCTCTCCCCCAGACACTTTTACAGCACATCCCCAGGGCACAGGGCTGCATCACCTGGTCATGGGGCACAGACACCTCTTGGCTATTTGCACTGAGATACAAAGCAGGTTATGCTCAAAATCCACAACACACCAGGCTGCAGTAGTGGAAGGTATAGGAGAACTGAATGTTAACAAGGAACTTCTTCATCTTCCCTTTGCATAAAAAAAAAAATTTTAAAAAACTGACTTAATGAAAAGTGAATGACTCAAAAAAAATGAGTTGCTACTATGCTGTTGCTTTTTATGCATCAAGTCACACTCATGAGCACTGCAGGCATGAAAACTACCTGAAATTTTAACTTCAACTTTAACACAGATGAACAGTAAGAATAAAAAGTCAGGAAGTTTTGGCTTACAACTTGATTTTGTGTATATCAGACACCACATTAGGAAACTAGAAAAAGGGGGCTATGAAGTATGCAAGGGAAGGAAAGAGCTAAGCTTGCTCCTAGCAAGTCCCAATAACTACAAGTACCTTTGGCTTTTAAAACAGATACTCGCTTTCCTCTCTGCATTAGTCATGATGTGTCCTGCACGAACTCTGTGATTCAGGAATGCAATGTAATTAGAGTTACTCTTACAAAGGGCTGTGGTGCCATTACAGCTAAGAACAGAAGTAAACATGATCATCTCATTTGTACAAGAGTCCCATTGTACTCAAGGAGCTGCTATAATTTCAGCCTAGGTGAAGGGAGATCCACACCACTGTTCAGAGTTCCTTGCCCAGCTGTAGAGCGGCCTGCAGCATAAAACATTCTTGAGCAGTTAAGCCACAAGTTATCAGTTACTAAGGAAATGTTTTACTGCTTAGGTTTATGAGGGATGACATTTTTTTACATCCTCTACCTCATCTGTACAAAACCCAAGGTTATGACAGTCTTCTGGAAGACCAAGAAATTCCTAACTTAAACAGTATCTGCTAAGTCCTATCAACTCTTTTTTTTTGTGCTTAGGACAAAGCCAGATGCAACAGGAAGACTAAATTCACATCAACATGCACATCCAAATATGCCCTATCAAGAATGGAAACTTCAATGCCTCCCAGCCTCCTCTGATCCATCTCAGTATCTTGGCTCATGCTCCAATCACATCAGACATCCAGGGTCTTTACCATGACCAAAGAGAGCAGTTTGGAGCATTCAGATTGAAATACAAAGATGTCCCCAGTGCAGCTAGGATTTGTGTTCCAGCCCTTTTCCTCAAGGAAGGACCCAGCTAAGTCTGCCCAACCCAGACAAGCAAAAAATACATGCTGTCTTCAAACTCAGGTCCTGCAATTTCTTCTCACCCAGACAGGCTCTGGACCACAAGGAACAGACTCAGAAACTCAGCCCCAGGGCAAGACATGACATAGCAAACGACTGGGAGTCACAGCTGGAGACCCAAAGGAAGAATATCCCAGATAAGAGAAGTATTAGTTTGTGATACGTACGTTGCTACATGTAGGAAAAAAACCTGGAGCAGAATGGGCAACATTTGAGTTTAAAAGCACTTTATCCCTCAACATAACCAGTAAACCTTGGTTTGTTTGCAAGTTTAGAAACAAATACAGGGAAGTGGTTTTAAGAACAGGGCAAAACTGCTTCAGAGATAGCTACCTGTCCTGGCCATCTCCACAGAAACAGCAGTGCCCAAAATGCAGCCTATGAAAGCATCCCTTCGGAACTCATCGTATCAATCCAGTCACAGAGTTCTGCATGGGTCTAACAAAGCCAGCTCTCTCTGCTCACACCCCCCCCGCAGCACCCAGGACTCATTCTTTACAGCAGAGCCAGTATCTCAAGGCAGCAGCCCAAGTTGGCAGGACTCCGTGGTTCTTTGCTGCTCCTACTCTGGGTGGACAATGGGCTATTTACCGCGGGCAGCAGCCTGCCCATTGTCTGCCCATGGCCAGACATCGTCCCACTGCAACCCAGAAGAACGGGAGAGCAGCCGCAGGCTTCTGTACTGCAAAGAAAACAACCCCAAGCACCAATGGCCTCTCCTCCTCTCTATCCTAATATTTAGATGAAAGGCACACTGGCACTGCAGTGGCCTGCCATAAAGGCAGGTCAACCACACAGTGTAGTTCTTACCGTTACAGGTTAGGCTGCACAGCTCCCACAGATCTGTTTTACTTCAGTCTTTCCCCACTTACCCTTTGAAAGAGCAAGAACAGAAGCATGTTATACCTCCTTTACCAAGTATAAAGGAAGGTGCAACAAACAGCTCTGGCTACTAACAGGAGAAATCCTTTTGTCTGAATAAAATACATAATCAGGTCAGAGTGCATTTATAATCAGCTTAAATTTCAGTCAGTCCAACCTGTCCCAGATACAGGCTCCCACAACCCTCTGCACGCTGGCCAGGCACTCATCTGGTTGTGCAGTCACACCAGGGAGGTGATCTGGCAAACACCATTTCCCTGGGTTACTCCTGATGCCAGTTCCTGCCTGGATGACCAGGTAGCCATTAGCTCCCAGAAGGAAAGACAACAGCACAGCTGGGGAAAGGGACAGACTGTGACAATACTACATCTCAAGCACACAACTCCAGCTGCTGCATGCAAGCCCTCCCAGCATTTTCTCCCCCTGCCTTACAGCAAAGCCCAATAATGGGACTCAAGTCTCACACTCACCTATGATAGAGCCAAGCTGTAGCAGGCAAGAAAACTACAATCATCCTCAAGATACAGCAAAGGAGCATAGTTAATTGAGACCTGAAGGAGAACCCTTAGATCCTTGGTTTAAGCTTTGTATAACATGAAAACAGCAAGATGCCTCCTAAGGTGCAGCCTGTCATGTCATATATGACACGACAGTCTCTACTTAGCCACAAAGGACTTTCCTGAACAAACCAAGTACTGCTGAACTGAATCAATTAGACCACTCTGCCCTCCTCCATCTGCCTCCCCCCCCAGTTAAAAAGTTAAATTAAAACCGTATCTGACAAATTCACCTTCCTGCAGCAGTAAAGAGGGACAAACTAAAAAGCTGTTAGTGAGGAACCCATCCATGCACAGAAGAAACAGCAGGTCCTTCATATTCACCCCTCCACCCCCGGCCTGGCTCTGAGCAACCACAGGGCACCCTAACATAGTTCAGGTTGCCTCTGCTGTTTCAGTTCTTGTTCCTGCATTTGGTACAAAGCAGGACCAGAGGGCAGGAGTCAAGAATTTAGATTCAGCCTCATCAGTTGGGCCATGGGGATTTACTTTGTAAGCTACAACTGAAGTTAAGACTCTTGCTGCAACCTCTAATGAGCAGCACGTCTGATACTGAAGTGTCAAGGCTCTGTCCCCATCTAGGAGGAAAGTC